AAAACAGAGGGACTCTTTAGCAAAAAGAACAGTGAATGGGTAAGTTCTAATCTGGACCATTGATATAAAAACGGACGGCTCAGGATGATTACGTATTCCTATTGTATTTCAAGGTTTATTTTTGTAAAGGAAAACGGCCACAATAAAGCATGACGTGGAAGATGAGGTCATCAAGCTAACTAGCCGATCGGCACAGCGTAATGCAGGCATGCACGGGTGACGTTAATTGCTCATATGCATGTAAGCCTCCATACCTTGCGTGATGTACGTAGGCATACACATGTGGACATGGTGGATGGCAGGTCTCTCGGCCGCAGCAGGATCAGAAGATGGCAGCACAGCTCAACAGGGATTCAGGGTTCGTCTCGATGAAGATCCCCATGTCTACGAGTTCTCCGTCCATGCAAGCGGCGCTCGCGACGATATGACTGGTGCTCGGCATCCAGCTGCAGGAGCGGGCGTCAGCGGCCTGCTACACAGGCCGAGCTGCACATACGGCAAGAGCTCCGGTCATCCCTGAAGGTCGCAGCAAGACGTACGTACAAACTGTACATGTACGTAGAGAGGTGATGAGGAACAGGCAACATCGATAGTGCTGTTACGAGTCACAGAAAGAAGAAAAAGGATTTCGATAGATTGACCAAGAGCTGCTGCACACATGCGGTTTTATACAGATTCATATAAAACAAAGAACCTATGCACTCTATGCAAGATTCACGTAGGAACTGATGACAAAAGAATTAATATGGATCGAGTATTGGAGTACAAAAGAAAGAATGCAGATTGGTTATTTTAACAGGAGGCTAAATCACGGTTGATTGTCTGCATACTAAATATCATGAAGAAGTGCATAGAGGGAGGAAGAAAGATAATTATAGAAGAACTCACCAAAGGTGCAAGTAGACCACGTGCTGCTCAAGGCCGAAGCACGTACGCAACATGCATCTTTTGCTGGAAGGCGCAGAGGATGGTTGCATGCGTGCGGGCATACAGCATGGCTCAAGGTGAGAATAGCCGGCACGAGCGGCGATAGACGCTGCGATCTAGGGCAGGAATAGGAGTCGATCTGTTCTGTTGCGAGAAAAAGAAACAAGAAGAGGACGCGACCACATTGGAGATCGGTAGGAACATGGTAGACGGCCTTACCTGTTGCCGAGAAGAGGATGGCCGAGCTGGGCAGGGCAGCGGCGGCGGCGACTACGGCGGCGACGGCGAGAGAAGGAGGGAAAAATATAATTTACTATACGAGGGATTTTTCAAACTAGGGGCTTCTTACGGTAGTTTTGGTGTACTTTGCCCAAGGGGTTGGTAGATATATATAAGAAGAAAAACTCCCACATCCACGTCAATTAGTGATATGGTACTAATTGATGTTACCCCTCCACATTTACTAATGGGCCTAAATAATCATTAAAGCCCATTAGTAAACAAATGCATGGGCCTTTAAGATTTATTAGGATTATTGCACTTGGGCTTTGAGCATTGGAAAAAAATAAGAGATTTATTATTTTCGGAATTGATTAATTTCGTTGATAAAATAATTCTAGAAATGTCCAGAATTGATATTTAAGCCACGAAAAATACTCCGAGACCTCCAAAAATTTGGGGAAATTTCTCAGAGACACTTTGGAACATGATGAACCCAAATAAAGTATTTGGAGCTCATAAAAAGATTGTTGGGAACTTGGAACATAAAGATTAAGGTGAAGGAGGTAGGAATTAAATTTCAGAAAGAAGCTGGAAAATTCCTAGAGATAGATATTCATCTCCTAAACGTATAAAAAACACACATTTTGCACATAGAAACACGAGGTGCGACCAGCATGAATGCAACAAACACGTTTCTACCTAATGATAAATTTTAAATTAATAAAAAAAAATTATTTTCCTATGTTTTCATGAGCACAAAAATTCACAAATAAATCATTTTAACTCTATTTTAAAAGTGGCAAATTTTGGGGTGTTACATATAATGATACGTAGCTTTTCTGTGTGTTCGAGAACATAGCGCACATAGCTTTTAATAACTAGGATTGAAGAAAGTGCAGTTCCATCATTAAAGATATCCCAACATACGAGTTGCATTTTTGGTACCACGCAAAAGCATATGAATTGGTTGAAATCCTAACTGCCATAATCTACATTGATTTTGTTTTTTCCGTCGGAATCAAGAGTAGTTACGACACAGAATATACCTGAACCAGAAAATATATCATATATACTAGAATAACACATTTTTTAAGAGAAGCTTTCATGAGAGATTTGGCAAAGTGTTATGGTCGACTATTCTAGGTAACATGGTTTCCACGCACGCACAATGATATTTCTAGTAATACCAGCTTTTCTATGCTTGTTTATTAAGGCAGTTCTATGATAAAACACAGCCAGTTCTCATAAGTAATTAATAGCAATTGTAATCAGAAGTCATAACTAGAAGCTAAGTATGTCGTACATGGTGGTGGAAAATGGGAGCCTATCAAGTTAGTCAGGTCATGTTCTCTGGTGCGAGGAGAAAAAAACAGCATCAAACCAAAATTTATTTCTAGTAACATTGGGCTTGTTTAGCTAATAAGCTGCTTATGCCCAAAATAAGCTGAAACCAGGAGCCAAACTGTATGCTTTTTTACAGCTCATTTTTGTCGGGCTTATTCACAAAAAACAACATCAAACCAAATTTTATTTCTAGTAATATTGGGCTTGTTTAGCTAATAAGCTGCTTATGCCCAAAATAAGCTGAAACCAGGAGTCAAACTGTACGTTTTTTACTGTGGATGCAGGACGCCGATGTTGTGCTGCGGCGGCGGCGGCGGGGGTGCGTGGAGAGGAGGGGTCAACCGGTCAAAGTCATTTTGGTATGAATAGCTAGGGTTACTTGCTCCTTAGTTGGGCCAGCCATGTGCTCTTTGTAGTGGGTTGTCATATAACTTCGGGTCCCCTGCGGGCACCTGTGGGGGAGAAAAACAAAACCCGACTCTGTCTCATCCCGTCCCCCCCTGATCCCGCCGGGTCTAAAACCTGCGGGTTTCGGATCTAAACCTGACCTGCTGCCATTCCTACCTGCCAGCCAGCGACGACGTCTCCTTTCTTCGTGGGCATCTTTTTTTTGTTCAGTGGGCAGCAGCGTTTCTAGAACGGCGAGCACGTGTGTAGGGCAGCAGTGCAAGGGTCATGCAGCTCTTTGTCCTGTTTTTTATTTGGATGTGGGATTGTGAGGTGTGGGTCCGATGGGCCTCCATAATGCGATAGGCTAGATGAACAGATGGATTTGGCTCGTATAGTACAAAGTTGATGGCGTGAATTGCTGTGGGATTAGATAAAATAGATTATGACAATTTTAGACCTTTGTAAGAGAGAGAGAGACTTGCCACTACCAACAATGACTACTAGGCGGATGATCCAATTTCAAGCATCACCGATCATCAATCACCAAGGATTACATATCTGGCATATATTTCCATGCCAAAATTGTCACTGTCGGTCACATCAAGTGGATCGAATTGGCTGCACGCGGTGTTATTGTTTCGCAACAGAAAAAAGAATCATGACAAAAAGGGATGTGCGGCCTCAAATGCACCTTCTCATGTCACACGATCCCTCAAGCTAAGAAGCACTACTTACATCAATGTAGTTCTAGCATATCAATTAGGTGACATTATTAGATTTATCATGGAATATAATTTCATAATATATGTATTTGGTGTCATAAATATTGATACACTTTTCTATAAATTTTCTCAAACTTTTTTTGGATTAATTTTTGTCAAACATAAATAGTTTGACAAAAAGAAAAAATTAGACTTGTATTTTTTATAATGATTTTATATTGTAAACTGCGCTCTTATAATATCATGGCATATAATAACCATCTCTAGAAATGTTTTGCTGCACTGTAGTTCTGAACCGTCTCTAGAATTTGGTTTCCAGGAGCAGTTGAGTGAAAAAAAAACATCCCCAAAAATCAAATTTAGTAAGTGTGGTTGACTAAATCAACCATCCCTAAAAATAGTTGTCGAGTAAATAAATTTTCAACTCTTTCAAATGAATTCGTGTGCACCAAATCACCAAGGAGCGCATTAACTCGCAATCTGTCGCGTTGTACGGGGTAGCGTGACCCCGGCGCTGTCATCTTCCTCGGGCACAGCCTCGTCATATTCCTCGTGGCTCACATGCCCCACCCACGCCTTCTTCCTTGCCCACTACCCTCGGCCAGCGGCTCCCTCGCCGCCCACCATACCGCTCCACCCTCCGCTAATCCCAACTGAAGGGCAAGCTTTGACTCGTCGCCACCACCACCAGCGACCCAGGCCAACCGGATGTTCAGCACCGCCCGCTCGGTGGTGACCGACCGCCTCGCTGGCCGCCGATCGAACCAGCACCATGCCTCGCTCGCCGCCGGTTGAACCGCCACCAACGTTGAGCCGGCCACCGCCGCCGGGCCCCTCCCCTTTCCAAGGATGCTGCTGGCCATGGAGCCCCCGGACACCCAAACCCCTAACCCCAAAACCCTAATGCCAGCGAGCTCGTCTTAGGCGACGACGGCAAAGGAGAGGAAGGCACGGGTCATGAGGTTGTGTTTGGCTCATGGGTTTCGGGGACACGCGCTCCACGCGACTGGTTTCCCATTAGAGTTTGCGAATCAGCAATCATGGATCACCAGGGTGTAGGTGTCGGGCTTTCGTGGCCAAGACCATTGTTCTGACTCTATCCATATCAAAATTGTCACCAATCATGGATCACCATTTTGGCTGCATGCGACGTTATTTAGCAATCAAATCATGACATGAAAAGGGCAAATAAATATCCAACAAACTAACAAGTAGCCAAAGAAAAGAACATGCGCTCCAGATATTTTAAGAACTTGACAACCTAGATATTTTTTAGTAGCTATATCCATGGTTCATATCATCGTACGTACATGCGCTCCAGATATTTTAAGCACAAGCATTTTCTGCAGTGCACACAACACTCTTCACTCGACCAGGAAGCAGGAAGAACTAACCATGGCGGCTCTTCACTTTGTGCACGTAGTATACCAGTTCATGCTGGCGGCCGCTACGCCTCTAGTAGCACAACGGCCATTTTGGTTCGTCGTCGTGCCTCTCATCCTAGTGCTGCTGCCTGTCATCTGCCAACGCCTCCTCCACTGTCATCGTCCCAACACCGGCGAAAGCAGGAAGCACTCATCGAAGCCTCTCCTTCCGTCGCCTACGCGGAGGTTGCCAGTCATCGGCCACCTGCACCTCGTCGGCGACCTCCCGCACGTCTCCCTCCGGGACCTCGCCACAAAGCACGACCGTGGCGGTGGTCTCATGCTCCTCCAACTCGGCACCGTCCCGAACCTCGTTGTCTCCTCCCCTCGCGCGGCGCAGGTCGTCCTGCGCACGTACGACCACGTCTTCGCCTCACGGCCGACGTCCAAGGTCTTCCACAACTTCCTGTACGGGTCGTCGACCATAGGCTTCGGACCCTACGGCGAGCACTGGCGCAAGGTCAGGAAGCTTGTCACCATGCACCTCTTCACCGTCAAGAAGGTGAACTCGTTTTGCCATGCTCGCCAAGAGGAGGTAACAGCTTTTTTTTTTTTGGTACCTTATTATTAGAGTCTGTCTATAGAACGTGTTTTGGCTGCCCAGGACACCCGATTTTCTTCTTGTATTCTTCCTCCTCCTAACGCGCCGCCGCCGCCAACCGCCCACCATCCCGCCGCGGCACGGTAGGGTCTTGCTGGAGCTCCGTGCGGTCGTGGCCATAGCTGTGGAGCTACGAAGAGACCCTACCGCGACCGTGGTGACCTCCTTCTTCCTCTTCCCCGTCGCCCTCTTGTCCATGGTCGCCCCGCCTTGTCCTGGCCCAACCGCCTCCTCCATCACCCACTATGGAGGCGTCACCATCGCCTTGCCGCCGTCTCTCCCGTCCCCACCACTTGGCCTGCCTGCCTTCCTAATAATTTCTTCTAAGGCCACTAGATTTGGAGAAGAATAGAAGGAGAGGAAGAGAAGAGAGAAGAATGAGTGGTGGAACACTCGAGTGAGATGTATACTTTCAGTATTAGTAGGGGATGAAAGATAATCCAAGAATTGCTATGTAATAATGTTTCCATCGTTTTGTTACATATACATATACTAGGTGCGCCTGGTGATGGCCAAGCTGAAGAAGGCCATGGCTACAGGCATGGCAGTGGACATGAGTGAGACGATGAACACGTTCTCCAACGACATCATGTGCTGCGTGGTCTCGGGCGCAAGTTCTTCAGGAAAGACGGCCGGAACAAGACCTTCCGGGAGCTGATTGAGATGAACTCTGCCTTGTATTCAGGGTTTAGCCTAGAAAACTACTTCCCACGGCTTCTGAATTCGCTAGGCATCTTCACCAGGTTTGTGAGCAGAAAGGTGGACAAGACGCACGAAAGATGGGATGAGGTGCTTGAAAATATCATAAGTGACCATGAGAGGCGAAGCTTCAACTATGGCCGTGGCGACAGAGCTGAGCAAGAAGAGGGTGCAGACTTCGTTGATGTGATGCTCTCTGTTCAGCAAGAGTACGGTATCACCAGAGACCATATCAAGGCTGTCTTGATGGTGAATAACAAGCTACCCATATTGGCATTTCCTTTAGAGAACAAAAAATAGATCTATCCTATATTGTGTCCTTTTCGATTGACTTATCCTAAATGACATGTTCTGCTTGGTCCAGGACATGTTCGATGCAGGCACGGTCACGTCATCCTTGGTCCTGGATCTTGCCATGGCTGAGCTCATGCGCCACCCTCATATCATGACCAAGCTACAAGCTGAGGTCAGGAACAAGACACCAAATGGACAGGAGATGGTCAAGGAAGAGGACCTAGCAAGCATGGCCTATCTGACTGCCGTGATGAAGGAGACGCTAAGGTTACACCCACCTGCTCCATTGCTCCTGCATGCCTCACAAGTCCATGGTGGACTGTGACATCGATGGGTATACAATCCCCTCGGGAACTCGAGTCATCATCAACGCTTGGGCTGTCTGTAGACATCCGGAGTCATGGGAGAAAGCGGAGGAGTTCATGCCAGACAGGTTCATGGACGGTAGTAGCGCGGCGACCATTGACTTGAAGGGGAATGATTTTCAGTTCATACCGTTTGGAGCTGGTCGAAGGATGTGCCCTGGCATCAACTTTGGGCTGGCCACTGTTGAAATCATGCTGGCAAACCTCATGTACTGTTTTGATTGGGGGCTGCCGGCTGGTATGGACAAGGAGGATATTGATATGACAGAGGTTTTTGGATTGACAGTTCACCGAAAGGAGAAGCTCATGGTCGTTCCCAAAGACCCAAACTACCTGGTACCGCTAGCTATGCATAATCTGAGGCAGGATGCTCTGTAAAAGATATGCCTAGTATGATTTTTGAAAGTACGGCCTGCATGTGAATTTGCGTACCTGTTGTATGTATTTTGCGGGGTTACCTAGTTGTATGCATAGTCAAGAAAAAAAGTTGTATGCACATATGTATTGCACGCATGTCCCTTCAAATATATATGAAGCCACAGTATGGATTGTTCAAAGTTTGTGAACAATATATTTTTACATAAAGGAAGCTTCTATGAACATCAAAATCATACAACCATTCTAAAAGTACCCTGGTCTCTCCAGAACTAAGATGATGTCTACAGCTTTAGCATAAATTAAGGTAACACACCAAAAATAAAAAGGCAAACAGGTAGTGCTAAGAAGGCTAATGCCGGCAACCTGTTCCTTACTCCATGTCATACACAACCTGTGTGATGTCCAGAAATATCCAACTCTTCATATAACACAAAGCCCATATGATGATTCAGAGACATTCATAGGCTCTCCTCACTAGTACAGAGATATCTTCCATTAACACCTCATTTTTTTTCACTGGCCACAGAGTAAAGCTACTCCACACAGCACGTCCTCGCATTGTATTCTTGCTTGGTCGATGATGCTGCTTGGGTAAGAAAGCTACTCCAAAGGTTGCCACCTCCATGCTGAAGATGAAGCGCCCCAGCTTGTTCTCCTTGTGGAAGATAATGAGCTTGGAGTAGGATTGGAGGTTGTTGATGTGGCCGAAGACGGATTAGTTGCGTGTTCCCATGGCCCATGTCAGCTCCTGTACATCTCCATTGGCGTTGAGGGCGAAATGGCATCTTCCAAAGTTGTAGTGTATGTTGAAGTAGCCGTTCTCCGCGAAGAGGAGTGTTGGAGTTGTTGTAGCGTGGAAGCCTTCGGTGATGAAGTGCCGGGTCATTGTTCGCCCAATGGCAAAGAGGAAATCCAACGAGTTCGGCCATGGTAGTGATGGTGCCAGCAGGTAGAAGTACCTGTTGAGGTCGTTGATGATTCCTTGGTAAAGTGACCAAGCTAGTTCCGCGGTGCCGCCTATGCTGGTGTTAGCGATGATGATGCTGTCTGATGGAGGTGCTCGTAGCTGCTGATGTGGCACCATGGCTCCCACCTGTATTTCTTCTTGTTGCATGACGAGTCGTTGCAGCGCCATAGCTGCGAGGTATTGTAGAGAGTTGATGTAGCTATGGGGGTCGGTGTTGTCTGATGTTGGGGCTGATTCTCTCCGGTGAACCGCCAGTGTTCCATGGATGTTGATAACAGGGCAGGGTTCGCCTTCACCCATTAGTAATATCTATGTATGTGGGGGTATATTGTGTAGCTGGATACCTAGGTTGTTTCGGAGCTGGTGAGGTGTAGTTGCCATGTGCTGAAGGCGTTGCTTGTCGTTACGCCAGTGCTGTTCCGATATTGAAGGCTGTGTAACTACTCTTTTTGACGCAGATCTCCTTTGCATCGAAGTTTCTGTGGTTCGGCTCAAGTTGGTCCAACCATGGAGTGCCGTGTGTGACATCTGTGTTGTACACATCCATTGAAAGGGCCAAAATCTGTAGTTTTTTGCATGGCGGAACTTTTTCTGCCCTATTTTTGTCATTGTATGTTGATGACTGGAGTCCAGATGTTATTGTCTTACAGATGGTGTTGCCGACGAGTATGGTTGCATTCAGCACGTTGTCAGTTTGAGCGCCTGTAGATCTATCCTTGTGGGGCGTCTCCTGCTGCTCTTGTGCTAGGCCAATCAGGATTTCTGTTGTCCTGCTGCTCCTTGTTGAGGTGATTCTGACTAAAGTCTTCTTCAGATCTGTTCTCGGGTGGTGAGGTCGTCACATTGTCAACGGTATTACCTCCTCCTCTGGTTTTGTGACGAACAGATCATTCGTCACCTTTCCCTTGATTTTAGGATTTCCTCAAAATTTTGAGCTATTTAATTTTGTATTGGGGGAAAGTATGCTCTGCCTTTTTCATGGTCATGAATTTCTTGGCAGCAATCTCTCGTTTCTGTTTTGCCTTGGTTGTCGTGTTGACGTTGGTATCCATCTCAGATCCTCCATGTACCAAATCGTTCAGGCGAGTGTCAGAGTTAGCGTTGCGGTGCTGTATGCTGTCCATGAGTTTGGTGGCGTCGGTGCTGGGCGCCCCGGATTTGCTGCCTGATGTGTACCCGTCGTTGACGATTTTGCAGGCGTCACTTTCTCCTGTAGGTATCTGAACTTTGGGCCTGATCGGTGCGTCTGGTGTTTGGATTTCTGGCTGAATTCGATCTGCTGTCGACGGGGAGAGCAGTAGAGGTAGCGTTGCTGATGGGGATGGGATCATGATCTTTCGTCAGATTCGAGATAACTATCGATTTGGTTGAAGAACAACTCACCGATTCGGCTTTAGATCACAGAGACCCTAACACTACAATCTTAGCACAACGTCTCCTCTGGTTATCAACTGTGTCACAATCCGGTTGATCTCGCCGAGAAGGCTAATCCCTGCTGCGAATGAAAGAACACAAGTAAGAACAAGACAACATGCAACTCAAGTATAGTGACAATATTTGCAGATATATGATTAAGATCTCGAATATGGGGTTTCACAAACTGATAATGGCGACTGATCAAAGACAAATTGATTTAAAGTAAAACCCAAACCCTAACATAGGCAACGGCTACTGATTAAATAGCCTAAGGGGCGTCCAAGGATCCCTCTTCACGTCCATAAGGTGTCCCAACACGTTACAAGCCCAACGGACCAACAGATGGCGACGCAGCGCCCTAACAGATTCTGGACGTCAAATTGTTTTGACGATTCCCATTGATTCTGATGGGATTTTTATGTGGGATCACTTCCATTAGTTACCTCATCAAATTATCTTTCCATCCATATGTGGATCATCGAAAACGGAATCCGTATGCGACCTAGGCGTCCATTTTACTACACGCTGCTCCTGGACTCCGAGATGGACTCGAACTTAACTTGGGTTGGGCCTCCAACTTGGCTTGGACGCCCTTGCTCGGCTCCTAAGGTGGTGGCCAAGGAGGAGGACGCCCTTAGGCATCTCTTAGGTGTTCTCCATCTTCTTGGGGCATGCTCCAACTTGGGCCTAGGTCCCAATTGTGAATAACAAGCTCGCGACGACGCCGTAGCACCCGACAGAAATAGCGGAAGAATGTCTTGATGATTTCAAGAACTTGTCGACGTGATATTGAGGTGAGACCAGATCTATTTCAAAGCTTCCATCAAGTGCTCATGGACCTCAAACTCACTCTGGATGAAAGAATTATGGCCTTCCCAATAGAGTGTTGTCGGGCTGCCGATGACCTGAAAGTTCAACTTTGATGGACTTGCACTTTGAGAGACATTTGTACCTACAATCAAATAATGACATGTACATGTGGAACCATGTGAATTGTACCAATAATCACTATGCAAATGTAAGAATGAGCTCACCTTATAATCAATGGTCAAATCCGAAGGTGTCATGTCCTCATCATCGTTGCTGCAAGTTGTTCCTTCGGCTCGGGCTTGGTAACGAACAGATTGTTCATCACCTGCTCGAAGATCTCAGGAATTTTTGACAATCTGGAGCGTTCCATCTACACTTGGATGAAAGCACGCCCAGTTGTCTCCTTTGCACAGTTGGTTGCCTCCGCAAGATCCTTGGCGGCGATTTTGCCATCCTGATTTGCTATGGTCGAGTAGATCTCCAAGACCCCATATTTGAATCTGTAGGTAGAAGTTCTGGGTTTGTTTCGGTGTCAAGCATGCTTGATGTTGACATTGTCGTTGCTTGCGCTCTTCCTTCTGGTGCAATTGGTACTCTTGCTGTGGTCGCCTCCAACTGAATTGGATCTATTGTCGATGGCGAGCTCTTGTCCAAGAGGGCGTTGGCCTTGGAAACAAATTCTTTCACCTCATCGAATTGTTGGTTGTAGGTGGTGGCAAACTCGTGCACCTCCTACTTCATCTTGTTGATCAAGGTGGTGGTGGCGATCGGGTCGATCTGGTCTCCGGATACCAGGTGTGATAGTCCTTTGCTGGGGGACCGGTTGGCGATGGCCTAGGCGAGGGGCGGCGACGCTACTGCGTCGGCGCTGGCAGGCATGGGGGTGGCGGTGTGGTCTGGCGGCAGCAGCGTGCTAGGGGAGGGGGTGGCTGGGCGCTGGAGAAGGAGAGGGGGGGGGGCGGCAGAGAGAGAGAAGGGATAGGAGAATAGATTATTTCTCTTGTTTAAGATTGAATGGTTACATGGCTCCTTTATTTATAGTCCTCGGAGACTTGGTCTTTAAACAATCTAATTTTACGGAAAGAACCCTTATAGATTCGGACTGCTATCATAACAAGTAACTATTTATCCTTTTTAACAAAATCCTAATCTATTTTATCGAAGAAATACTCTATTTATTTTCCTACTTTTTCCGACTTTCCTATTTTATTCTGGATCTCCTGGGATGTCGGGAGATCGAGGGTGGTGGCAGCGCTGCCCCCTGGCCGCGCACCTCCCTGCCCTGTGCGGGGCGCCTCTGGCATCTGGCCGAGGCTAGGTCCCGGGCTCCCGCAAACCCACTGAGCCCGTCATGGGGGCCCCAGTTATGCACATGACAGTGGCCAATTGGCCTTTAGTCTCAAACTGTCTATACAGCCCAATGCGAAACACAGTCCACGCCATCCCATACCCCTTCGATTCATTCTTATCCAATCGCCCACACGCCCAAAAACGAAGGCGCCGCTAGTCACCCATTGTTGCCAAGGCGCTGAGCTCAGCCAGCCATGGAGATTGAGGGGAAATGATGAGGTGCTACCGAGTTTCACCAGCTGATACCTCCGGGGTGTGGATAGGGTGCCCGGGCAGAGGGGGTGGCCGCCCTAGCTCGCCCTAGTGGTGCCTCCGCCTATACATGCTGATCGACACGACAAGTTCAGCTAGAGAGTGCCACACGGGCGGCATCGGGCCTTGGTTCAGGATGAGCTCGTTCGACGTACGGAGAACATGCTCGATGAGCCGTCTTGTGATGCCTTTCCCAATGAGATCGTGTCCTTTTCCCGGCGGCCGAGCACCACATGCTTGCCGCCGTAGCTCCAGCGACGCCCCTCTTCCGCCCGTAGCTCCTGGGCCTCCCCAAGCCTGAGCCACCTGCCGCTGCATGCAGGCATGCTTGCTGTCGCTGTTGCCACCACTACGGCATGCATCCACTTGCGGCATGGGAATGTTTGTGGGACGCAGTTTTTTTTTCACTTAGCAAAAAAAAAAAAAAAACTGGGTCCGCCACGTGACAACCAAGTGATTGTACGTGCCATTGTCCCAACAGCTAGCTACCCAGAGCTAGCCACTACGGCCAAAGCACAGCAGTAGGGCTAACAAGCATACTACAGCAACCATGCAAACTCCAACATATACATTTAGCTATGCCAACACAACTTCGTCTTTTATATTTACTAGTATATGGTTATTAGTCCCTGAATCCTTTTTAGTATCGCCACTTGTCGTCCCTGGTTTACTTCATTTTTATTCTTTGGCTTAACTTCTGATGCAAACTATTTCCTTGTCAATTGTTGGTGAAGTGCCCAATATCTGCAGTGTGTTTAAAAACTGATATATCAACCATGCTTATGGTTAAGATCGATCAAGATCCTCGCATGCTTATATTAATATGGCTATGTTTATCTTGGTTTATGTTTCAGAATTTTTTACTTCCATTATTTTACTTATTTATATGTAATATTGATCATGGTTCTAGGGTCAGCATACTTAAATAGGTTGCTAATAGAATCCTCTAAATCAGTAAATATTCAGGACAGATGCACAAGAATTTCAAATTAACTTAAGGATTAAAAAATATATACCAATCAACAAGATTAAATTATGAAAATCAAATGACAACATAAGTTATGGGGCTGCAACAAGAGCCACCACAGTTTTAATTAAGGAGTCAAGTAATGCATATTAATGATACACAGATGTGATATGCAATGGAAAAATCTATGTATATGAGTCATAAAACATGTAGGTCTGTAATTGATAAGTTTTAATGGAAGATACTTCTGTACTAGTGAGGAGAGCCCATGAATGTCTCTGAATCATCATATGGGCTTTGTGTGATATGAAGAGTTGGATGTTTCTGGACATCACAAAGGTTGTGTATGACATGGAGTAAGGAACCGGTTGCCAGCATTAGCTTTCTTAGCACTACCTGTTTGACTTTTTATTTTTGGTGTGTTACCTTTATGCTAAAGCTGTAGACATCATCTTAGTTCTGGAGAGACCAGAGTACTTTTATAACGGTTGTTTGATCTCGATGCATCTTGATGTTCATAGAAGCTTCTTTTTTCTAAAAACTATATTGTTCACAACCTTTGAACAATCCATACTGTGGCTTCATATATATTTGAAGGGAAATGCGTGCAATACATATGTGCATACAACTTTTTTTTTTCTTGACTCTGCATACAACTAGTTAAACCGGCAAAATACATACAACAGGTACACAAATTCACGTGCAAGCCGTACACTTCAAAAAACATAGTAAGCATATCTTTTACAGAGCATCCTGCCTCAGATTATGCGCAGCTAGCGCTACCAGGTAGTTTCGGAACGAGCATGAGCTTCTCCTTTCGGTCAACCGTCAAACCAAAAACTTCTGTCATATCAATATCCTCCTTGTCCATACCAGCCAGCAGCCCCCAATCAAAACAGTACATGAGGTTTGCCAGCATGATCTCAACAGTGGCCAACCCAAAGTTGATGCCAGGGCACATCCTTCGACCAGCTCCAAATGGTATGAACTGGAAGTCATTCCCCTTGAAGTCGACGGCTGCAGCCCTACGTACCACCATCCATGAACCTCTCCGGCATGAACTCCTCTGCTTTCTTCCACGACTCTACATGTCTACATACAGCCCAAGCGTTGATGATGACTCGAGTTCCAGAGGGGATTGTATACCCATCGATTTCACAGTCCACCATAGATTGGTAAGGCAAGAGAGCAGTGGAGCAGGTGGGTGTAACCTTAGCGTCTCCTTCACGACGGCTCTCAGATAGGCCATGCTAGCTAGGTCCTCTTCCCTGACCATTTCCTGTCCATTTGGTGTCTTGTTCCTGACCTCAGCTTGTAGCTTGGTCATGATATGAGGGTGGCGCATAATGAGCTCAGCCATGGCAAGTTCAAGCGTCAAGTATGATGTGCCCGTGCCCGCATCAAACAGGTCCTGGGTGTGGGTAATTTAGGATAAGTATGTCAATCGAAAATGACATAATCTAGGATAGATCTATTTTTGATCTCTAAATAAAAAATTGATATTGGTACCTAATAGTCACTCACCATCAAGATGGCCTTGATATGATCTCTGGTGATACCGTACTCTTGTTGAACAGAGAGCATCAGGTCAACGAAGTCTGCACTCTCTTCTTGCTCAGCTCGCCTCTCATGGTCTTTTATGATATTTTCAAGCACGTCGTCCCATCTTTCATGCGTCTCGTCCGCCTTTCTTCTCAGCAACCTGGTGAAGATACCTAGCGAATTCACAAGCCCTGGGAAATAGTTTTCTTGGCTAAACCCTGCATACAGGGCAACATTCATCTCAATCAGCTCCCGGAAGGTCTTGTTCCGGCCGTCTTCCCTGAAGAACTTGCCCCACAGCACGCAGCACATGATGTCGTTGGCGAACGTGTTCATCGTCTCGCTCATGTCCACTGCCATGCCTGTAGCCATGGCCTTCTTCAGCTTGGCAATCACCAGGCGCACCTAGTATATACATATCAGTATATGTAACAATATGAGTGAAACATTAATTTCATAGCAATTCATGCATTCTCATTCATACCTACTATACATATAATAATGATAATAAGCTACCTCCTCTTGGCGGGCATGGTGAAACGAGTTCACCTTCTTGACGGTGAAGAGGCGCGTGGTGACAAGCTTCCTAACCTTACGCCAGTGCTCACCGTAGGGTCCAAAGGCGATGGTCGACGACCCGTACAGGAAGTTGTGCAAGACCTTGGGCGTCGGCCGCGAGGCGAAGACGTGGTCGTGCGTCCGGAGGACCGCCTGCGCCGCGTGCGGGGAGGAGACGACGAGGTTGGGGACGGTGCCGAGTTGGAGGAGCATGAGGCCGCCACCACGGTCATGTTTGGTGGCGAGGTCACGGAGGGAGACGTGTGGGAGGTCGCCGATGAGGTGCAGGTGGCCGATGACCGGCAGCCTCCCCGGAGGCGACGGCAGGAGAGGCTTCGACTGCTTCCTCTCGTCGTCACCGTCGTTGGGGCGGTGGTGGAGGCATCGGCAGATGACAGGCAACAGCACTAGCATTAGAGGCACGACGACGAACCAAAGTGCCCGTTGTGCTAGAGGCGTAGCGGTCGCCAGCATGAACTGGTACACTACGTGCACCAAGTTAACAGCCGCCATGGATAGATGGTTAGTTCTCCCCTGCTTCCTGGTCGATTGACGAGTGTTGTGTGCAGTGCAGCAAATGCTTGTTCTTAAAATACCCAGCACTCATGCACGTACGACAATATGAAATATGGATAGCTACTACAAAAATATCTAGGTTGTCAAGTTCTGCGTGAGTTTTTTTTTTGTCTACTTGTTTGTTCCTGTTCGGATGAATTATGACTAATCATTAGTTAGAACTAGTGATTATTAGCCCAGGGATCCAAACAGGAGAACTAATCACTAGTCAGCTAACTACTAGTTAGCTAATTAGTAGTCCTAACTAATCACTAGTTCTAGACTCCTAGTCATAGATGGCCATGCAGCCTGTAGCCCGCTAGCCCGGCACGAAGCCCGCTTTTTTGGCCCGCCCCAAGCACGGGGTCGTGCTTGGGCCGCTGTCTAGGCACGCCGGGCGGCATGGCACGGCCCAATTTTTCCAACCGGACCGACAAAAGCAAGCTACCTCATATATATATATATATTGCCTCCTAACCCTAATCTCAAATTTCCCAATCCCGTAGCCGCCACCTGCTTCCCTCACGGCCTCGCGTAGGCGCGCGACTCCTAGCAAGCCGCGACTCGCGACCCCTCCGCCTCCCCTCCGCTACTTCGCCCGCCCGAGTCCTGACCCCCGAGATCCCATTCCCGACTCCCGAGATCCTAGCAACGAGAGACGGAGCGCTCCAGCCCCTGAGATCCAGAGCGCCGCCGGCGGCCGCCGCTCCCAGACCCGAGAGCTGCCGCCTGATGCCCGTTCGTGCCCCTACCATCTAATTAAGCATCTCAATATTAATCTAATTAAATTGTAGGAAGTAACTATTTATCTAATTAAATTGAGATGCTTAATATTGTTAAGGTATAAATTTGTAGGAATTTTTATGATTAATCAGTGCTAGTGTTAATTCTAGAAATTTCATAGTAGCTTTCTAATATTATGAGGTGCTCACTATAATTTTTGTAGCTTCATAATAATTAATTTGCTAAGGTAGCTAAATGAGCCCTAATTCGAATATATAAATTTAATCAATAAGAAGTCAAAACACCTTAGGATTATAGGACTAAAGCATTTTTTTTAAACGAAGCCTTACCTAACGACGTGGATATGTAGCCTAGTACGCTAGTCGTTAGAGCTAGCTCGTTAGCTTGTGAGGTGTAATCGTGTTCTTAGAGTTGTGGTTGCCGTGGGTTAATTACGTTTTCTGTGTTCCATCTACATATATTATAATAAGAACAACAATGGATCGTGGAGCCATCTGGAGTAGCAGAAAGGATGGTGCCTTGATGATTGGGTCACCACGATGGAATGCTAACTTTTGGTTGTATCTTACCCAGGCAAGCCCCAGTGCATAACCCCTATTATTCTGCACTTTAATTTATGCTTGTGCATTAAGTTTTAAGGAGTTGAATGAAAACCACTTGCATATATATATCCTTATCCTATGGGTTCTACTAGTATGTAAGAATCGTGTAGATGGCTATGTTATAGGATTCGGTAGAAGTCAAGTGATTACCTGTCACTCACGAGAGATAGGAAAGATATTATTGTTGTTATTATATTACTATCACATGGAATATATATGGATGATAATTGGAGACTAGGCGGAAAGGTGCTTTGGATTTGGACTTGGTTAGGCAACCGAGAGAGGCTCGGATTGCATTTGTTTCGCCTGTGTCGATTGAGGACCGTCTGTTGCTATGGATGGTGGTCAGATCAAAGACTTATTATTCTGAGTACATACTTGCTTATGAGAGCGGGAAGGCTCGTTATGCTCTTGTCATGGGTTCCGGCTCTTTCCTGGACCGACTAACTGGAGGCGGGGAAAGGTGGAGGTCTAAGCACCATACTGAGACTAGGTCTTAAGTGTGGGGGCTTAGAGTCCAAGTTTGGACGGAGACCTAGACCCTATGACAGGAGTGGAATGGGTTGGTCTTGTTTGTGCCTAGGGTACAAACAGGGCATGTGTTTCGGGGTACCCACTGGGATACATTGATTCATGAATTGTCATTTCTGTGAGACGGTATGACTTGGCTATGTTATAGCACCGTAGTAAGAACTGGAACTTGAAAGGTGATAAAATTGTTTTGATTGCTTACCACCTGCTTAAAAGTGGCATAGGTGCTTACATAGAATGGTTAGTTAATGAACTAAAGATGACTGCTAATAAAATTGAATATAAGGACGCACGTTTAGTAATGCTTCCGCAGATGCAATAACCCACAAGCCAAATAAGCCTTGCATATCCTTGGACTCTTTTATTTTCCTCCTATTGAGTAAGTCTTGCTGAGTATAATCGAGTACTCAGGGTTTTATTCCCCCTGTTGCAGGTGACCGGAGAATACATAGAGCTGACTCTTGTGTGTGGAAACCTCCTGGTGGGCTCAGAGAAGATTTCTTTCACGCTATGATCATAGTATTTATTTATAACCCTCACTAAAGGTTTTTATAAGAAAATATGTAAAATCTGCTAGCATCTCTTGTATATAAATATCCACTACGATAGTGCTCCACCATGTCATTAAATTAATCTTTGCTTCCTCTGTAACTCTGGTAATATTGTTATATTCCGCTGTTATAGTCAATGGAGGTAATATTCTGTTACTGTAATAAAGTAATGTAAGAAATGACTTAAGAATGTTGTAAGTTGTATTCTCTCATTTATGATCCTGATGGAAAAATGTAGATTTTCGAGTTCTCCCTTATGGTGTGCTCGATGAAACTGCATAGTTTAGTGTTCTCTCTTGAGTACTTAGTGTCTAATGGAAGATAAGTATTCCTAGGAGACATTAGATTAGGCGGTTCTGCCTCAGGTGGAATCAGAGCATAAATGAGAAAATAAAGCTTCAAAATACTTTTTAAACTAAAATTTGACAACCTATTTTTGCATAAAGTTTGGGGGTTAACTATGAAATATATAAGTGGCCCTATTGATATGGTTAAGCATCTGGAATAGGTTTAACTAGGCTTTTTCCGGTGGACTGACTCTCATGTAGTATACGATCTTTAAGTCAGTCGTGCTAGTAATGCCTCTGTTGTCGTGCCAGTATTGCTGGTAGATGCGCCCTTCATAGACGTCACGCGAGTCATATTTTGCATGACTGACCGGCCCTTGTTCGGGAATTACCGCTGAACTGTGGCTTCGTGCTTCGCGTTCGCCTGTGTTTCACGCCTACCATGACCCACGTCTCCCCGTACTCCTTTCTATGCTATTGCCGAACCCTTGCCCTGCAGCCATACTAGTCATTAATGGCCTCGAACATCGCTTGCCTCGAACGCGCGAAAAATTCAGTCGATTCATTTGTAGTGGCCCCGCGCAGGAACCGAAGGTGGACTGCACCTGGACCACTGACCGCTCTGCCCTTACAAGAAGGGCCTGGCCTAGCCATTGGTACCACCACTCGGTGCACTCTAGCTCACCTAGCCCTTCCTCTTGAGCAAGTTTTCGGCTCAATCCTCCCTTGCAACCACCCACCAGGGATGGCAGGAGCCTGGGTTAGCAGTTATTGCCTAAACACTGAGGGTTTTCTCAAAATCCTATATGCCACCGTGCAAAAACTCAGAATCAAGGATCGTCCTGAGTATGAGGGCCGTGAGTATGAGAAACTTGGCACTAAGCGGTGTGAAGTTACTGTCTATATTGGAAAGAGTGAGGAGTTCCCCGATATCACTGAGGCTTGGAATGTGACCACAACTGGGTTTTGCTTTGTCGACACCTACCAAGTTATGTCCCGTAAAGCCTTGCGGTATCTTTGTTAGATCTATGAAGAGCCCATTGCTCGTACCCCCATGTGGTTCTTTCCACCTTTAGAAAAGAATCGATGGGTATGGAGGGCTCGCATGGAGGCTTTACAAGGGCGGGATGCGCAAGAAGACAGTCCAACCATGGTGCACTTGCCACGTACCTGCTTTCTCTAGATGAGCAGTATGACCAGCAAGCCTCGGAGCTAAGAATGTGCCTCCAACGAGCCGAGGAAGCCGAGATCTTGTCCAGGATGCTCTAGGTGTAGATCACTAAAGCGCATGCCAGTGTGGCAGCCGTAAAGAGTCGTAAGACTGCCATGTCGGAAGCCCTAAAGGAGGCCGAAGATCGGCATGCCCATCAGCTAGGAGAGGCCTACCTTGTCACCAGGGCTAAGCGTAGGACGCTAGCCACGAAAAGGCAGGATTCCTTGATCTTGGAGGGAATCCCTATCCACCCACCGGAAAGAAGGAGAACTGGTGTTGCAGTACCGCCAGCACCCCCACCCTCGGAAGTGTCAGAAGTAGAGTCCTTGCTTCCCCTCACTCGGCCACTACCAAGAGAGGAGGCAGATCCATAGCCAAGGCTGTAAAAGAATCCGCCAAGCCCAGGAATGAAGATGTGTGGTCCGACAAAGTAGATTAGTTGCCTTAGGAAGATGTACCTGTAGTTAGTGGTGCCTTTCGTCGCTGTCCTCCAGTATTGTAATCTTTCTATTGTATTTCGTCCATAGTTGTTGAGATCGTCTAGTCGTAAGGAAGGTGAACGATGTGTCAACAATGGGAGAGTGAGTGCCTATATGTTGTACTAGCATAAGGACATTTGGAATGTGCATTTTATTTATTTCGTTGTGTTTATTGCGTCCATCTACCCTTAGGTCTCGTTAGGTGTGCTTAGGGTTTTCAAGGACGACGTTAAGAGGGTTATAAGAGAAGTTGCTATTTAGGTGTGAGCAGACTAGCTATGATGGGATAACGTAGGATACTATATCGACTAATTGTGGATGTCCCAGCAGAACACTTAAATCTCTTTAAATCAAATCCATTGTGGGATTTGAATTCCTTATCTCTTGTTGTGAAAGGAACCCTTGTTGTCTGAATCTTCCCTTGCAATACTCTAATTTTGTGGTCTATGACCCCAACGCCTTCATTGCATGTAAGTTGGTAATAGTTGCCTGGTTAATAGCTTATGGTGCCGTGATGAAACCAAGGGCCCCTGTGGAATAGCTGCCACATG